AACGGAAAGCCGTAAACAAAGAATATCCCTACTATATATAATGCGCTATGTCTGTCTGTCCGTCTGTCACGAAATTCGGTATCAAGCGAACAACAACCTACAGGGTCCAGGTCAAGTTTGGGATGGGTATACCATATCCCTAGAAGTAAAAAACACACATCAGCCAAGCGGAGCCCCGCCCACAGTGGGCGTGGCGTGCATCGGTTGATTTCAAATTCAGTCACAAAACAGCCTCGAGACCGGGACAAAAGTGGGCATAGGTGTGGGTTGGTAAGCCAGATCGAACTGAGGAGACCCACCCTCGGTGGGCGGGGCGTTCTCTAGAAAATGGGTGCTCAGTGAAAATATTCATAACTCGGTTAAGAGGAAGCCTACAGACCAGAAACGAAATTAGTGCAGGGGAGCAATGCCTAAGGTATTTCCACCACGCATGATGTGAACGGAGGCCCGCCCACAATGGGCGGAGCGTGTCGTGAAGCGGACAGCATTTTCTACAAGAGCTCATAAATCGGCTCCGAGATGACTTAGAGACCGGAAAACAACGGATAGAGGTCAGGAGGGGAGGGGAAGCTAAATGTCAGGGATGGGCGTGGCTTACATCAAAGTGGGCGGAGTTTGCAATTAGGCTTATAACTCGGTTCCTAGGAGTCCCGGAGTCCGGGAAAAAAGCGTATGAGGGTTGGCAGAGGGAAAGGGGTCAACCGTTGTTGGCGGGCGGAGCATGCACCAAAGTGGGCGGGGTTTGCCACGGTACTTCATAACTCGGTTCCAATAAGTTCCAGAGATGGGAGAAAAGTAGAAAAAGGTTGGGGAAGAGATGATAGCCGACTGATATCAGTGGGCGACCCACGCACCAAAGTGGGCGGGGTTTGCCACAAAGATACGTAGCTCGATTTCGTCCCCTACAAGACCTCATAATTCGGCTCCGAGATGACTTAGAGACCTGAAAAAAATACGCCAGAGGTGAAAGTAGGAGTAGAGGTTGAATGTGAACGCTGGGCGTGGCACACCCGGATGTGGGCGGAGTTTGCCACCGCTCTCATAACTCGGTTCCTAGAAGTTCCGGCGACCGGGGAAAATGTGCATAAGTATTGAGGTATGGAGTAGGGTTGAATGCCATTGTTGGGCTAACCATGCACCAAAGTGGGCGGGGTCTGCCTCAGAAATTCGTGACTCATAACGCCATTTACAAGACCTCATAATTCGGCTCCGAGATGACTTAGAGACCTGAAAAAAAATATGCCTGAGGTGAAAGTAGGAGTAGAGGTTGAATGTGAACGCTGGGCGTGGCACACCCGGATGTGGGCGGAGTTTGCCACCGCTCTCATAACTCGGTTCCTAGAAGTTCCGGCGACCGGGGAAAATGTGCATAAGTATTGAGGTATGGAGTAGGGTTGAATGCCATTGTTGGGCTAACCATGCACCAAAGTGGGCGGGGTCTGCCTCAGAAATTCGTGACTCATAACGCCATTTACAAGACCTCATAATTCGGCTCCGAGATGACTTAGAGACCTGAAAAAAAATGCCTGAGGTGAAAGTAGGAGTAGAGGTTGAATGTGAACGCTGGGCGTGGCACACCCGGATGTGGGCGGAGTTTGCCACCGCTCTCATAACTCGGTTCCTAGAAGTTCCGGCGACCGGGGAAAATGTGCATAAGTATTGAGGTATGGAGTAGGGTTGAATGCCATTGTTGGGCTAACCATGCACCAAAGTGGGCGGGGTCTGCCTCAGAAATTCGTGACTCATAACGCCATTTACAAGACCTCATAATTCGGCTCCGAGATGACTTAGAGACCTGAAAAAAATATGCCAGAGGTGAAAGTAGGAGTAGAGGTTGAATGTGAACGCTGGGCGTGGCACACCCGGATGTGGGCGGAGTTTGCGGCGTAAGTAAGATGTACCGAGCAGAAAGCTAAAATCAAGACAAAAATACTGATGGGCCCGATTTTACCGCTGCAGCCCCGTCTCATGCACGCGAATGCGTGCGCAGCCAAACTGGTAAATATATATATTTTACCATATTCGACGAATCGCTTCGTAAAGCATAAGAGGGGTCGTATGAACTTTCATGAAGGAAGGGGGTCGTAAAAAAATTTCAAAAAGTCCCAACGGTAGGGTTGACCCTGGTAAAGGGTGAATAGTTCCACCACTGGCATTTGAACGAGAAGGATGGCACTGGTGAGGCCGCCACTTACATGCGCAAGGCATGGGGTGAAGTCTGTAACTAGCTCTTGCTCATGCTATTCAAGTCCTCGACCGTTACATGGGTAGGTTAACTGCCACCAGATTCGTCTGGGAGGATAGAAACACTGAACAGCGCCTACATCGACGGGCCCTCCCAAGTTGTTGGAGACGTAAAATCTCATTCAAATGCCACTACGGCTTTGAATCGGAATTGAGTGCACGGCGCATCACGAAAAGAAGTTTGTTGTAGAACTGGTCGAAAGTGAAGCTTACCTTTGTGATACTGAATTGAAGTGGAGTGCAAGGGCGCATCTTGAAGGGACTAGTCAGTACTGAATTCCCTGACTCTCACCCACTGCTGTGTACGATTGAAGGCCTATTTTGCGCCACGCATTAACTGAATCGCAGAGGGACATCAATGGGTTCCCAAAACCAAACAAGGGCTCACGATTTCCCTGAGTGCGATCACCCAGGTGACAGTCCACAAACCAACAGGTTACCCTCATCCCTGCGAAACTTTGCTCTGTGACTCACTCATCAGCAGGCTGATCGCCCAGCTGCTGGGATAAATCCAATGATTCATCTCAGCCATTGAACTTTGCCCATCAAAGCTCTCGAACGCGAACAGCCTCCCCGATGACTCATTTTATATCATGACCTTCGACACTCGCGTGGAAATTGAATCGACAACTGACCTGAGTCCTCTTCCCACAACTTCACTCTCACATTTGCGGCCGGTTGTTCTCCACACAGTAGTCGACCTTTCACCGCAATTGACTGCTCCCTCACAGCCAGGCACAACAACGGCAACAGCGCCAGAGAACACAATAGTCGGGTCATTCTGGAAAACTCCATTACTGTAGGATTTATCGAAATATTTTAAAAATGGTGAAAATTCAACATGAAGGGAGAACGAGAAAACCGGTGAGAACATTATAGGATTGGCTAAAAATGAAAATATCAATTCCTTTCCCAAGGAAAAAAGGAAAGGCTGAAAAGAAGGTAGATGGTTGGGAAGCTGTAAAGGCATATTAGGGTATCACAAGAATGCTGGATTAAAATAGGCAAAACTTTTCACCCAAG